TCCGTTTCTTATTCAAATACAGAAAAACATTAACCACGTGTGCAATAGCTAGATTTTAACATCTGTCGCTGTATTTGTTCCACTATACCACTGATTAATCCTCTGTACAGAAATATAATGATCTACACTGTTTTCTCTTTCTTTCTAACCCTCTACGGTTCGACGAATGTCTCTCCATCAATATTCATCTTGGCAGTTCTTCTATACATGTATTCTGTTGATACTTGCGTATTTTTGAATTTATCTTTCAAACGATGGGAAGTGACAGGTTCGTTACATAAAAGGAACTGTCGTGAGAAGCTCACGTGCTCAGTGATATCTACGGAAAGATGAATGTGATGAAATTGTGACGACGTCGAGCCAGCAGAGGGTTAATTATATTACCGCCGATATACACATACGTTGCCGTCCGTCTGTTCTATTACGCTTTTTGCATATTTATGGATTGCACAGTGTGGTGGTAAACCGCTAAATTCCTTTGTATACTCATTACGAAGAACAGGGTTAGCGTAGATGACGCTAATAAAAGATGTTGATAGAAAAAGCGTGTGTTGCGTATTGGCTTGCTGTCAACTTTAACGTGCAAATATACGAATCTCTAACAGGCAGTTTTTTGTCAAACCGATTGTTGGGTTTAATAAAACTTCGACGACTGTTATTTGTTCGCTAATTCACGCTTTGTTTCCGCCACGGCCGATCACCTGTTCTATCTTTGTTCTAATTATGTCAAGTTCAGTTGCATCTACGCGTCTCGTATATTTATTTTTGATACGCGTCACTGTATATATATATATATATATGTATATATCCCCATTTGTATCGTCTCGTGATTAAGCGTTTTTTTTTTCATACATCAGATCCGTAATTATTAGTGATAAGAATTGCGAGTGTATTATCAGTAGATTATTCACTTGTGTTACGTGTGTCTAAACTGCGGACGTGAAATATGCAAAAAGCATATGAAAAGTATGCAAATATTCGACCTGTTTTTCGTAAATATTTATTATTTACTATTTTTCGCGTGTATTCAACTATTGTTTGAATATCTTGCACGTTTGCATATATCTTTTGCATATTTGTACATGCCTTTTGCATTTGCACGAATAATATGCAAATGTGCGCGAAAAAGTACAAGAACAAAATATGCATTTGCTTAGTGCATAATTTGCATTCCAGTTTCATCGTACATCGACAGAGATTACGCAAGTTTTTCACATCATTAATGAATTGCTATACACACCTGAAGAAAAAAATCTTGTATATTTGTTTTCTTAAGGACAAAAAATTAATTGTAAATTTATTGTAAAATTTTCTAAATTCTTCATATCTTTTTATAAATAATTACCCTTCTGGATACACACTTAAAATTTTATCTCTTCGAGAAATAATATTCCTTTTGCTTTTTCGTTTAAAATGAAAACGTAAAAAAGACACGTGTTCAGAGTTTACTAGAAAGAACGGTTTTTATAAAGATTCATTATATTATTTAACAAATGTAACCATTACAAAGATTATTTGCAGAATTTAAAAATTCTTGCTTCACTTGTGTTATTCAACAAAAATTTAATTTCTGCAATACGGTAAGATGCTATCAAAAAGAATTATCAGAACAAGATATAAATGAATAAAGACAAA